TGCCGCCTTTGGGTTTGGAAGCAGGTAACTTGATTTTCAGTTTCGCAGATCCATAGATCGACAGGAATTTTGCCCCAGAATGAACGTATCCCTAAGAAAATTAAGCTCTGTGGTGCTCAGCTTTCTAGTTAGCAAACTAACTGGGAGGGGCTTCCTGTCCAACTCTTCATGGTTTCGTTTTCTCCTCTATGTCCACTATCATGTGGGTGCCTGCGACTCCCAGGGAATCTCACTCCTTCCAACAGTGGACCCTAAACTCCTTCTAGCAAGATGTTTCCTCCGACACCAAACAGAGACAGAGACAAGTCCTTCGTGTAACTAAATGCTCATTGGATCTTTGAATGGACTTTCTGGTCTTACATCTGAATCCCACCACCTGAAGCTCATGGTGGGTGTGTGGAGCTCATAGCGGCGCAGAAGCTTGCCCACGGCCTGCATCCAAGTCTCAAAGGAAAGTCTAGCACTAAAAATATTTTTGACTGCTTTAGGTTCATGCTGAAACTTCTGGACAGAGTCGTGCTAGTTAGTGAGTTCCTATACAGTAATGAAAAAGCTCTTGCATTGTCGAAACTCTCTGGTGACACTTAAACATTGGACAAGCTTTTTAAATCTGATCTACAGCTGGGTTTGTGAGGTGTGGGCTTTGCTGCTGGTCTATTGTCTTTAGCTTCTTGAATGGTAGGCTATTTTAGAAATGACAGAAACAATGAGCGTTGGACATCAGCCAATAAATATTTCCGACATATTTAAAAGCCATTGTGCATTCAGGAGACTTTTATTTCCAAAAACAGCTCGATGAACATGGTTATCAGAAGTACAGTGGATCTTTTTTATTGTGTTTGGATCAATAAAACCTAGAGACAATCTCCTACATAATTGAGGGAAGATGCTGTAGCTTTTCCCTTCCGATGTATTTTAAGATAAATTTATCTGTAGGGGTCAAAGCTTGAGAGTTTTGTATGAAATATGAAAGAGTTTTAACAGGTAAAATTTTTTGGGGGGGGGCTGGAGAGATAGCACAGCAGGTAGGGCATTTGCCTTGCATGCGGCCGACCTGAGTTCGATTCCCAGCATCCCATCTGGTTCCCTGAGCACCGCCAGGAGTAACTCCTGAGTGCAGAGCCAGGAGTAACCTCTGTGCATAGCCAGGTGTGACCCAAAAAGCAAAAAAATATTTTTTTTTGTTTTTTTTAGTTTTGGGGTTTTTTTTAATTTTTATTAGTGAGACACCATGAGGTACAGTTGTAGACTTACAAATTTTGTGCTTGGGTTTCAGTTATACAATGATCGAACACCCATCCCTCCACCAGTGCCCATTTCCCACCACCACAGATCCCAGTATCCCTCCCACCCCCATCCCCCCCATCCCACCCTGCCTCTGTGGCAGGGCATTCCCTTTTGTTCTCTCTCTCCTCTTGGATGTTGTGGTTTGCAAAAGAGGCATTGAGTGGCAATCATGTTTGGTCTATAGTCTACTTTCAGCATGCTTCTCCCGTCTTTTAAAAATTTTATCCAGTTCACTTTGAGCAAATTATTTTGGGATGGTTGGTTGGTTTTGTTTATTTGATGGGGAGGGAATTTGGGCAACACCTGGCAGTACTCAGAAATTACTCTCAACAGTGCTCAGAAAACCATATAAGTGCTGGGAATCAAACATAGGCCTTCTGTATGTGAAACTTGTGCTTCACCCCCTTGAGCTCTCTCCCCAGTTCTCTAATCCTATTCTTTTATGTTGATTTTATTATCATTTATTATTCTATTAAAATTTTCTCTGACAAACTTCATTGCAGTTTATCATAGAAACATAAAATATCAGTTTCATTATTGGAGTATATTGTATGTCACATCTCTAAGGGCTTCCAGCTAAAACTTTATTCCCACTGAATCTCTATAATGAACTAAAGTCAGCCTGGTGAAATCATCTCAGATTGGGCCAGATAAAACATACAGGGGTTAAGGCAATGATCTCTAGCACTACACATGGTCCCTGGACTCCATCAGGAATGACCCCGAGCACAGAGCCAGGAGTAAGTCCTGAGCACAATGGGGTGTACCCAAAGTCCGCACAGGCCAAAAAAAGTCATCTCCTGGTTAAAGAAACTTTGGTACATCTACACAATGGAGTACTATGTAGCTCTTAGAAAAGATGAAGTCATGAAATTTACATACAAGTGGTACAATATGGAAAGTATCATGCTAAGCGAAATGAGTCAGAAAGAGAGGGATAGACATAGAAAGATTGCATTCATCTGGGGGATATAAAGTAACAAAGTATGAGATTAATACCCAAGAATAGCTGAGATCAGCACCAGGAGGATTACTCCATAACTTAGAGGCCAGCCGGGTATCCTAGAGGAAAGGGCTATTCAGATAGAGAAGGGAGCACCAAATAAAGGATGTTTGGAGGATCCTCCCAGGAGGGGAGATGCATGTCGAAAGTAGACTATGGACTGAACATGTTTGCCACTCAATGCCTCTTTTGCAGACCACAACACCCAAAAGGAGAGAGAGAACACAGGGGATTGCCCTGCCACAGAGACGGGGGGATGGGGGGATGGGGGTGGGAGGGATATTATCCATGGTGGTGGAAAATGGGCACTGGTGGAGGGATGGGTATCTGATCATTGTATAATTGAAACCAAAGCACAAAAAATTGTAAATCTACAACTTTAAAAAAATAAAATAAAATAAAGGGGGAAAAAAAAAAAAAAAAAAAAAAAAAAAAAAAAAAAAAAAAGTCATCTCGGGATCCCAAAGATAATACAATGGGTAAGGCACTTGCCTTGCACTTGCCCAACCTGGGCTACATCCCTGGCACCACAGAGGGTCCCCCAAGCGCCACCATGAGTGATTCCTGAGCACAGAGCCAAGAGTAAGGCCTGAGAATAACTGGGTGTGCTTGACCCCACCCCCAAGGGAAAGAAAAACAAAACAAAGAAAAAGTCATCTTGAACGGAGAATATTTCTTAGAATAAGGAGTTAACATTCGGGGTTCCCAGGAAAATTACTTGGAATCAGCCAAGACGACTCCTCAGAAGCGCCATCTGGCAAGTCCTGCGTTGGTCTCCCTCAGGCCCTGGCACCCAGAGCTGTCCTGCAGCTCCAACACTTGCAAGAAACTAGGGTGCACCAAGCAGAGCAAAACCCGCCCTCCCTTTCATGCTGCCTGTGGGGAGACTTCTCACACTCTAGATCTCAGCTGAGGAAAAACATCCCATTGTCTGACTTGGCGTCATCTATCCTGCGCCTGGAGAGGCAATTTAGAACAAGGACTCTGGATGCCGGGGACCTGAGGCAGCTCTGCCGGCCGGCTGTGACTTGTTCTCAGTTCCTGGGCAATGCGCCCAGTTTCCTCTGCCCAAAAGCCCCCAACTGCAAAGGAGAGATAATCCTTGCTCCTGTTCTCTGCTGGTTCCGAGAGATAAACAGGACAAATGTTTCCCAAATGCCTGGCAGCTTAGACGCCTAGAACCAGAGGTGGCCTTTTTTTTTTTTAATGGCTTTTTTGTTCTGGACTTGTGTTTGCTTGCTTTTTTACCCTGACTTGAACATAAATGACGATGAGCGCAATTAAATTACATCCCAGCCCTTCTAGTTGGTGTTGGTAGAGAATTTGCAGAGTGCGGATCTCCGGGTTGGGCTGTTGGAGATTGTCTCCTTCCAGCTCACTCAGAAGGGAGGTTTTGTAGCCTGCAGGTAGGAGAACAAAGGTATAGTAGCCCGCCAAGTATCTGGATTGAAGTCCCACCCTACAACGAGCTCATAAAACTGGATGACACTGGAAAATACCGCTCAGCTTTATCAAGCTTCTGTCTCTGCACATGCCCGCCCAGTAACTAACGCTTGCTGAGTGTCTGCTGGGAGGCGAGGCTTCTGTAGACCTCATAACTGAACACAGGAACCAATTTTAGAGCTCAGAATCACCTCGTTTCATCGGTTACTCTAAGTGCCTCATCTTCCAGTTAGGATACCAAAGATAAAACCACTTCCATGGCATGTCCCAGTTACGTAGAGTTAGGAGAGATAAAACCAGGCTGCAAATCCAAGTTGCGAGCACGTGAACGTTACCACTACATTGCACTTCCCTCAGATGGGAACTCGGTCCTACTTTCCTCATCTAGACTTGTGAGGATCAGGTGAAAGACACACACACACAAAAAAAAACCACCGTGCAAATAGAGTCTGACACATTGGAGATGTGCGATAAATGAGAAGTGGCAGTAGAAACAATTAGACACACACACGTATAAATAGTCCGAATGCTGAGACAGAAATAAATGCATCCCTCCAGCCTATTTTACAGGGAAACTTTTCCGATACACCAGTAATTCCCTAGGAGGTACTAACGGCTGTACTTGGGAGAGGACTGCAGCATTTAAAACCTCACAAAAACGTACTGCATTATATAAAAAGTGATGCTTCGTGGACATGTGAATCTCCCAAGGTCACGCAAAGACAGGGTTAAAGCATGTGAGGTACTCTGCGCTTATTAAAATTCAGAGTGGATTCATGAGAACAATTTCCAGTGTAGGGATGTAAAACCCATGGGTAGTAAATCTCCCCTGTCTTGGTTCCATATCCCCACCCCCACCCCTACCCAATGGTCTTTCTGAAGAAAGGATCTCCTGGAAGATGGTTTTGTATTGTTTTGTTTTTTCCTCAAAGTCTTAAAATAAAAATCCCTCTCCTCATCCCCGCCCCCACCCCCTGCAAGAGATCTTGCTTATAAAATCTTTGAGTTGCATGAGAAAAAAAAAAATACGTAAAGCCAAGTGCTTCAATTCTGGCCAAGTCTGAGCCTCTCTTGGAACAAGAGCTGGAGGCTAGGATTCTTTAACCCACTCCGCTCCAGAAGAATCGCTCCCTCCCCAGTGTGGGAGCCGCTCAGCCTGTAAGAAAGCGCATCGTGGAGGAAGAGGGAGGGAGAAGCCAGCCCGAGAACTGCAGGAAATCTGCAACGGTCCCAAAGGGGGGGGGGGGGGGGGGGGGGGAACGCAATGACAGTGTGAAAAGATCTGCAGCATCAGCCTCCAGATTTGCCTGTCACTTCAGACCCCAGGAGTTGACAGAGCCGCAGACTTTCCGATCTGCAGATTTGAAAGAAAGCAAAGCTAACAAGGGAAGAAATTTCAATTATTTCTTCTCATTTCCTGGCTGGGCGTGAAAAGGGAATTCAACTTCAGTTTCCAGCTGAAGTTCTGGGTTCAGCCACCTACCCGTAAGGTAAGTTTTTATAAAATCATGATGTTGTCTAGTTGCATGAGTGAAACTAGCTTGGGTGATCTCATAAAGCTAACACTTTGGCCTTTTGCCTAGATTTTTAAAAAAAAGCCGACATTATTTTTACCAAAAATAAATAAATAAACCTGGAGTCTTATTTACAGATAACTACTTTAATGGAGGGGAGGGTAGCTAACCATTTTTATGCCTCCTCATCTTCTCTGAGATTAAATAGGCTTAAAGAATGGTAGTTTTAGTAGGGACCAAGAGCACATGTAACTGAGTCGATAACATGAATAGCAATCAAAGTCTATGATGTCCAAATCCTGAAATGTGATTCGTAGAAATCTTTTACTCATTAAATAAATCCCCAGAGAATTTGCATACTTTCCATGCTTAAATGATCCGCAATAAATAAATATCCTTGTCCCAGTGTGTCTGGCCACAATGTAGAAAGGGAACATTTTGCTTCCTTTGATAAGGAAGGAAAATCTCCTTATCAGTTTATGCTTCTTGACATTTTAATTGCTGTGACTAGCACACCTTTCCGGATCCATTGTATAGCTTTGCAACTAACCATTCCCGTTCTCCTTTTATCACTTTTTAAGATGCAGACACACACATTCAAGTTCCCCGATTCCTAACGCAGAAAAGGAGAAAGGAAAAAACCCAAGAGACAGAAAGCGTGTGGTAGCACGCATGGCCAGGTCTGCCCACATCTGCCTTCTAAGCAGAACAGCAATGCAAAGTCATGCTCAGCTCACTCGTCTCTCCTTAGTTGAGGACGCACTGGAGAAAAGAAAAGCTTGATTTCAACTGCAGATCAATACTGTAGCTACCTAACCGAGAGGCACTGCAGAAAGCAAATCTCTTGTGCAATGCCTTGAACCTACAGCGAGGTGATATATGTCACCTTGGTGTTGTAGCTCAGTTCTCCCCGGGCCCGGAGCCTAAGAGCACTGAAGTGTTCACTCGGTCCAACTCAGAGGAAATCTCCCGCTTGTCTCTTGCCTCATGGGTACCAGTTTTATTAGTCACAGTTTATTCTCTTAAACTTTGATGGCTACAATTAGTATCGACTCTGTTTCTTTTTGAAAGGATGCCACCCTAAAGAAAGATTTCAGTTTGTGCTTTTTTCATTCATTCAATAAGATCTAGCAAAACAGAACCATCTCGTTGGGCTATTTATCGTCTCTCCAACTGAACCTGCATTATGCATTTTGGAAAAGAATGCTTGCATGTTATTGATGAGTTTTTTCCTTTCAGGGAATTTTTCGTCCTACCATTTGATTATTAAAATACTGGGGTTTCCTTTCAGATCCTTTGGGATTTTGTCTCTTTAGTTTCTTGTGTGCTAGCTACTTCACTTATCAACTAAGTAAAAAAAAAAATGATGACAGAAATGGAATGAATAGTGACGTACCTGGCCAACTTCAAAACATTATTCAGTTCATGTCCCCTTGACTGTTCCTTAGTTTTACTCAACTGATTTGTAACAGCAGTTAAATATCCCCACCTATATTCCCATTTAACACAATATCCAGAATATATTAGGGCTCTTTTATCCCCACCAGGAATAAACAACTCTTTGGTCGAAAGATTCCAGTTGTCCTTTTCCCTCACACATCACTTAAGAATAACCTTCATTGAAGGGCAGAGACCCAGAGAAGCAGGAAAATTCCCTCCGTGGGCCAGGCTGCCTGAGATACACCAACCAGGAGGGTAGCTAAGGCCAACAGCACAGACCCAACAAAGGCAGGATGGTCTCAGTGGTGGCACCCCTGGGCTAGCCCTTTTGTCTTGGTCATTGGAAGGTAAACAAAACTCAAGTGTGGTCTTAACTGCATGGAGCACAGTAGGACACTAAAGTAAATAAGATGGGTGGGTTCTAAATACTTGCAGTCCTGGTTTGTATCCGGCCTTTCTCTGGCTCCATGATTAGACAAAAGTATCTTTCTTTGTCCCCATGCTGACAGATGAGTCTTTGATTTTTAGTTCTCTCCTTTGTGGAAACAGGGATCATAAAATTATCTGCCCACATTCTCCTCCCCCAGAGACTTTCTGTGAATTAAGTGAAGAATTGGCCTGAAATATATGTCTGAAATATAATATATCTATCACTGTCACTGTCCTCCCATTGTTCATCAATTTGCTCGAGAGGGGCCAGTAACGTCTCCATTGTGACAATTGTTACTGTGTTTGGCATATCGAATACATCACGGGTAGCTTGCCAGGCTTTGCCGTGTGGGTGAGATACTCTCGGTAGCTTGCTGGGCTCTTCGAGAGGGGCAGAGGAATTGAACTTGGGTCAGCCATGTTGCAAGGCAAATGCCCTATCCACTGTGCTATCGCTCCAACCCATATATATATATATATATATATATATATATATATATATCATACATTAAATATATGATATGATATGAAATATATGATGCCACATAGCGACCTCCCTTCCTGCATCACAGCTCTCCAGGGGGATGTCTTTGCTAGGTGTTCCCATGGACTCTCTGCCCTATCTCGACACTTTGGTGCAGACTCAGACACCAAGGTCAGTTCTGTGTCAGAGAGAGCAGAGCCGTTCTGACAGAGCCTCAATCTCAGAGCACACGTGGATTTGAACCCTGACTTTGCTTCCACAGGCTCCATGGACACAGAGCATCCCAACTCTCTGACTCCGTTTTTTCCCATCTTGTAACCAAATAGTGCTTTGGGGGGAAAAAAAAGAAAAAAGAAAAAAAACACATACAAATGCAGTTGCTGTAGGAATCGAGATATTTGCTAAGTGCCAGGTGTAGTACCTGGAGATTTCAGGTGGCCGGAAATTTCACTGATTTTTGGAAGAAATCTTATCTCCCCACGAGAGGTGTCTAATTGTGCACTTGATATGATTGCTCCGATGATAACGTTGGGAGCTAGGCAAAAATTGATCTTTTGAAGAGTCTTTTTGTACCCTAAGAAATAAAAACTGACACTCCATACCCCCCAAGAGCACCTGGACGAGAAGTATTTATTACTGTGGGTCTCCTGCCCCATCAATTAGTTGCCTCTTAATGGCCAACTGCAGTGAAACCAAAGAGAGTTTTCTGTTTCGGGCTGCCATTAAGAAGAGACACAAAATGCTGCTTTGCAGTCAGTTCTGTTTGACTGGCCTACTTGGACCGGGGGAGACCCCCAACATCGCCCCTTTCTTATCTGTGCTTAAAGGCAAGAATAGGGGTTTTGACTTGCTCGAGGGGGGATTTTTCCCCTCTCCACTGCAGCTCCAAGGAAAGGATTTGCTTTCTTGTCTTTTGTTTCTCGTCAGCGTCGCCCCTATGTTCCTAGCACCGAAATGTCAGCTGCTTTTTCTGGCGACATGTATCGGAACAGCCTGTCGCCATAGCGATGAAAGAGGAGAGAGAGACTCCAGTTTCGTGTGCCATTCTGAGAAATCATTCTGAGTCGGCTTTTAAAATCCCTCTTTAGAAATGAAGGCTCCAGGCCCGGCTTGTTTCCTTCCTCTTATGCAACCGACATAATTAGACCAATTGCAGTAGCTGAATGTTTCCTTTAAAGGTTCAGTGAATGGGTGTTAAGAAAACAAGCAGGAAAGCCACAAAGATAGTGGCCAGTTTGCTGTGTGGTGCAGGGGGCAGTCACTGCAAAGGCAAGGAAGGGGAAGTGGGGAAATGACCTCACCTTATAGCACAGAGGGGACAGGCCTCCGTATGTCCAATTTCCAACAGTCTGCTGTCCCCTCCCATCTCCAGGAGGGCTCTGATTGTGCGTGAGCCTCCAGGAGGGCTCTCGAACAAGGCTTCTTTGCCTCCTCAAGTCCTGTCCCTTCTTTGCCTTTGTCTTGTCCTTCGGAATCCAGAGACGAACATCACAGAATTGTCTTGGGAAGGGAAAGCATCTCAGAATCTTACCTTCTCTGTTAGATTTCAGTAGTGGTGAATGTTAGTTATGAAGCAGGCCAAACCTCAGTTTCCCTGATCCAATGAGGAGGACAGCCCATTTGTGAGTTGCATAAGGTGAACAAAAATAATGGTTACCTGTGCCCCCAAAGGAATAGTTCTTTCAGAGCTTTCTTCTTTTGTATATCTAATGCTGCTAAGATGACTTTATCGGACTTTGACTCTCTCCATGAATACTGTTGAAATATAAGCCTCAAAATTAGTGCTGTACAGACATAAAAAATTAGATCTCTAAAGGAAAAAAAATTAAGAGGTAAGGGTGTTTTATGAAGAATAACAATGAGCTCATTTTGGCTCACGTTCGGGCAAATGGGATTAAGAAATCTTATCTCTTTTAAAACTTGCTTTTTAAAGACTTTTCTGTTTCCAGTGTCTTCCAGCTTGCAACTATGAAATAAGTAACATTTTTCTTACATTGCAGACAATAAACATAATCAGCGTCTTAGACCACGCAAAAATGCCAGAGATGCTGCAAGAGTGAAAACAGGGAAGGGCGAGTGGGGATTGTGTCCGAGCGGAAGTTGCTATATGGTTAGGGAGGCAGCAAGAGTCGAATCACTGGCTCCATCCATGCACAGGCCCAGCCGCAGGGTGACCTTGAGCGTGAAGCTGGCCAGAGTCTGTGACCAAATGCTCAAACGGGCAATAATTTGCTGCCCGAGCACATACTCGGGACACTGACTCCATTGTTACATAGAAATATCTAACATCTCACTGTATTCTAAGTATTTTCTGCTTTTCTAGATTATTATATTATTCTCATAGTACATGAAAAAAATTGTTAAGACTCTTTATCCTCATCTGTAACCTCGGCCCACTGAACCCTCCCTGCCGTTATCCAAGCACCTCAGCAACCCTCTCTAGTTTGTTTATCACACGTGTCTGAAAAATGTAATGATGCTGCAAATGTCAACCCCACAAATCAATTCTTATTTTGTGACTATGATCTCTACTCCTTCTTACTTACTAGATTGCTTTTCCCAATGCCATCTTAAAAGCCCTTGAGCATGTAAAGTATGATTTTGTAAAATTGTGCAATTCCAA